GAAGGGCTCTTTTAGGTCATTTATTTGCCTTTGCTGACGGAGCGCGAGCTTATGGAGTAGACAGCCCATCTTGCTATAATCGACACAGAATTGTTTTCCAGGTAAATCTACAGTATTATCCTCTACATCTATATCAGGATTATCCACGATGTTGATGCAATGGTATAGGCCTGCGTTAAGCAAAGACTGAGCGCAGTACCCGTTTTTCATTTAAGCCCCTTCTTCATCACTTTTGTAGTTAAAATAACAAGGCTCTACTGCTAATAAAGCTTCACAAACACTTTCTTCAATTGGTTCAAAGTTTTTTTTAAACGAGCATCGGAGTATGTGTAGTAAGCTGTGCAGCTAAGCATACTACCAGCACATGCTATTGCGATTGGAACTGATGAGATAGGTCCTACAGTACTGACGAGACCTCCTGATTGCTTGAATAAGCAGCTCCTGTAGCTCCAGCGTTAATCCACCATATAATCCATACAAACTAGTAGTTGAGCCTATTGATACGCGTCCTGCGGTCGTCGAACCTCCGAAAATAGTCATCTTCGTGCTATTACCTACTCCAAATTTGAGATCATTTGATGTACCTGTACCTATAAACATGGCATTGCTAGAGGTTGCATTGGTTCCTTAATGAATTCAACGATGCCTGATACTGGCGTAGCGTTACTGCCAGTGAATCGGCAACATCTCGTATATGATCCATCTACATTATCTATACCAGAACCAGCGATAAGCAGATATGAATCAACTGGATACGTAGTACCAACTCCACAAGCAGTAAGGGTACCTACGGTGGTTATTCCACTCTGAGTTCCATAACCAGTAAAGGCATTCACTTTATGTGATGTATCTACTGTGATATCACCACCTGATACATTAACAGCTCCGGTGGATTGTACGAAGCCTGTGGTGGAACTGTCGTGAAGGCCGATGATAAATGCACAATCGTGGAGTCCGCAGAGAAGTCGTATTGCCAGGGCTGAGACTCGACGGAAGGAACGTGCACGGCGTTATTGGATCTACCGAATGCCGATGCGGATATCATGCGATGCGAGCCGAGCGCGGGTGATGGCCAATCACTGATGGCGCCTACTCGAGTCCTAGTACCAGTTATGGAGCTATGCTGCTAACAGAGACTGCTCAGGAACACCCTGCAGCTATGGCATTGTTCGGAGCGACGGCGTTGATTGCAGTGGTGGCGCTGGTTGTCGTTCGCCGCCGGGCCGTTGCTGCCTATTCTGCGCAGATGGTTGACGATGCCTATTACCCGTTGCTCCACTAGCATTGACTGGGTCTGGTTTTGCACTTCGCTCTTGGGATCACTCCTGCGCTATCGTGGGCCGTGTAGTACATAGATAACAAGAGAAAATAAATTGATTTTGATCGTGTTTTCGAATTTTGGTCCTGGTTTCGTAGAGCTGGACTTTGGTGAATAGAGCGTTTTTGCCCTCGTACTTTACGTAACGAGAGTAGTCAGACCACCGAGGCCTACCCCTTTCCGTAGAATGCCAATTGTACATTCGTCTAAGCACGTTTACTTACGTATACGTTACACTTGTAACTTGCATCACAGTTTCAGAGGAAAGCCATCTCTAAAAAGATCCAAAGGAAACCAAACTAGCAGTGAGGACGATGGAGCAGCACGATCTAAAGGAAATTTTGGAGGACACCCCGTTCCGTGTTGATGATCCGGCTAAGCGGTCGCGCTTCCAAACGCGGGACCTTACCAAACTGATGCTCATTGTAACGCGTCGCAAGCCGTACGCTGCGCCATACGGCAAGGGTGACGCTGAGTGGCAAGCTGTAGCCAATGAGCTCAACGCTGCTGTGAAAGCTTCTTTCTCGTCGAGGGCTTGTCGTGTCAAGGTAGCTGCGTTGATAAGAAACCACAAGCAGGAGTCTGCTGCAAGCCGCCGAGCTAGCGGAATTGCTGAAGACCACACTGAGCTTAGTGACTATATTGAAGCTTACCTCCAGCTAAAGACTCGGTTTGAAGAGAAGCGACACGCTGAAGCAGAGAAGAAAAAGCGTAAGAAGAAGCGCATCGCGACAGCAAGATCTAAGGCCATGCGTAAGGCGGCAATGAGGTATGACTGCTCAATTTTATTTAACGCTATCCTAACGCGGAATGTAGGTTAAAACGACGTAGAACCTCTACAACAGCGAGTAGTTCATTAAGGTCAGCCCCCAGGGGCACGGACGAAGCCGAAAGCGACAGCGATAGTTTCGTTGATAACAGCAATGACGATGGTGACAGCAGCCGTCGCGCCAGACGTGATGACCGTCACGAACGCCGAGAGCTTCTTGGAAGTGAAGACAGCAGCGACGAAGAAGCAAAGCGTGAAGAAAACGAGGATGAAGCAGCTGATGAAAGTGACGACGGCAGTAGTAGCAATTCCACGGAGGCAGATGTGGATCAACCCACGTCTGGCAGAAAGCGGCTTCGAGTGGAAGAGATATGGGCAAAAGAAGAAGAGCTTATGGAGAAGGAGAAAGAAGCTCAAATCGCCCGAGACACGAAACTTACCCAAGCTTTCGAAACATTGAACGTCCAGATACAAGCGCTAGTTCAGCATCTCGTCAACACTCATGGAAACCGCAACACCAACCAGTAATTGGTTACCAACTGGAGCCCGTATCAATCGCTGAGAGAGCCAAAAACAAACCTTTTTTTTGACAGCACCAGTCTAGCACACTAATGAAATACTAGTTTTCTCTTCTTGCTTAACAAATAGACGCAAAGTACTCATCAAAACTTGGTGGCGCCACATCAAAGTAACTACTGATCACGTTTTGGCCTCTGGAGATGGTCAAGCAGTTTGTCAGACGTACTGCAACCTCGTAAAGCATACCAACAGGAACGCTTCCAATGTTCATCTTCCTTTTGAAGTCGAGGAGCGCCCACTCGTTGATTACCTGTCCAAATCCCCATTCCACTGTTATACGCACGCGACTCATCGAAGCATTCACAACTGACTCCTCTCTGGTAGCCCCGACTCTATCAAACGGAGACGTGAACACATCCGTCTGGCCGTAGGCGGGATCACCGTACAATAAGTAGCCGTGAAAACGCTGGTCGTTTTGAATAGTGCTCTCTAGCCCCGAGGCCTCCAATAATGTCAGATCATGTAATCGACCTTCAGTAGGACCAAATAGATGAGCAATCATCCCATCAGGCGCAGTGACAGACTGGTATTTGATGCCGTGGCAGCGCTTGTGGCCGTTGAACATTGATTGTTGTTCAGCACTATCCAAAGGTCTGCAGATACGACGAAGTGTACCGTCGATAAAGCCCCGCACGTTTCGAAGTTCCCCTCCTTTTGCACGGACTGCAGCCGTATAGTCCTCCAGTCGACTACTGATACGATTTCAATCACCATCAAGAAGCGGAGCCCATCGCCGTGCGATATGCTCACAGACGTAGTAGAAAATTGAGCTCAAGTTGCTTTCGTGACGTCCATACCGGTCCTTGAGATCTCTCCAGCAACTCGGGTACGATAGCCTCTCCAGAACAATACAAAGGCCTTCAATGCCAGAAGTACGATACCCCTCCTCAGTCGAAAAGAAAGCTGGTAGTTGAAGTTTCCACAACAAAATTGCAAGGTGAGTCTTGCCAAATCGAAACCGGTCGATGCAGTTTCTCTCCGACATTTGGCTTATGTCGAAGCGACATCAGGAATACTTGAGCGCAGCATTTCCTTCTCAATCTGTCGCATCTGAATAGCTAGTGCACACGCTACAGCTCGAAAAAGCATCCCCAGTCGCCGGTAACGACGACGTCTCCGATGAAGTACCCACAGATCGATGCTTTTTTTGGCGTTTGACGTAACATTTTGCTGGCCGACTCTCGAATGTGGTCTTTGAACGCGCTAGTTAGCACTTCCCCACCAGAGGCAGCAGTGTTGTCGCTACCACTGTCACTTTCACTGGGAATATCATCTCGGTTATCGTTCTCACCAAGCAGTAAAGCCACAAAGTTATTTTCCCCACCGGGAAAAGCGCCAGCATCATCCTGTTGCGAGCCCAGACCGTGATTGCCATCCAAATTGTCATTATCCATGGGAAAATCATCGTCCAGTCCGTAAGAATAGTCGTAGTGGTCCTCCATTCCACCTATATTATGTGAATCAGCGCCTTCGCGTTGCTCACAGCCACATAGCTGCGCGTTTTGTGTCTCTTGAACTTGTGGCTCAACACCAAACGAGCAGGGAGACCTTGAAGCGTTTCTTGGACTGCGAGGTGCATCTCATTGCGCAAGCTGCGTCCTCCAGCTAGCTGGGTGCCATACCCAGCTTCAGGGTACTCCATGTCGCCCACGACTAATGTCTCCCTGTGCGCTCTGCGGAATGTTGCTGCCTTGATCTGACGCAAGTGGAAATGGCTCGTGACAATCGCTGTGGGGATTGATTTTAAGGACTTGAAAATTGCCCGTTTAATCGAATACTACCTGCAATATTTAATGAAATATCATAATGACTGAATATATAGTTTGAAGACTTTCATCTTGATGAGGGTTTCGTCTGATACGTTATTTGGAGCGAAATAGCGTACTTGACGAAACCATTTCTCCATCTGTTCATCTTGCCCTGACCCTGGTGACCCTTTTACGTTTACGGCGCTGCTCGATTTTCACGTAAAATACGTGAGCAAAAACGCTCTAATAAATAAGGAGAACATTTTCATTAATCGCGTGGGGACGACTGGCATTCTCTTCTTCGGTCTGCTCAAAACTAAAAGAGATCTACACCTTTAGATGTTATCGATTTCAACACGGATATTGCCAGCACGGAAACGCTCCGAATCTTGCTCGATATGTTGCCAGGAAACCTACCGACTGGTGACGGAGCGATCCAAAACGAACGCTTTGAAAAGAGACCCCTGATGAATGGCCCCCTGGCGTAAATGGCTCTTGGAATGAACGACGCTGTCACTTTTAAATTCAAGAAAAAGTGGTCAAGTGATCAAGTATCCCTGCTAAAATCTGTTCAATTTCGTTGGTGATGAGGCTCCTTGGACTGCTTGCTGCAGGAGCTTTCCAGCTACCTCTCGAGGCACTGGCCATGAGAGCATCGCTGGGCGTTAAGGAGACTCTACTAGCTGAAAACAGGGAGCGCAGTGTCACGTTTGCTTCACTTCCTTTCGATCTTCCGAACAACACCCTCATTTCTCAAGATGTTTTGACGAATAACGACCACTACTCAGGCATTCTCAGCCCCGACGGTCGCATCGGGTGCACGGAATCCTATGCTAGTGAACAAGACCAGGAAGTCGCCGTGGTTCTAGCATTCTCCAAGTGTCTTGATGACACCTCTTTGAGCATGGTCGAGGAGTGGGTAAACCAAGTCAAGGCCGGGATCATTTCAACTCCCTACGCGGAGGACCTGCAGATCACATTCCAGTCGACGATGGTGCCAGGTGCTTGCGAAGAACGCAGTGAGAAGACTAAACAAGGACTTCACGACCCCGCCATGGAGAGCCAGGGGAGCTCTTCGCCTCCGAAGAATCCGGAGACGACTGAACCACCAGTTCTTTTGGCCGACGGCGTTCTACCAACTGACCTTAAACGCCTGAAAGCATTCCCTGGACTCGGCAAAGCTGTCAATCTGGCTGATGATGAAGTCAAGCTGGATGTCAAGCCGATCGCTGTCATCTCCTTCGTAACCGGAGAGAAATCTTACGGGGAGGTGATGAAGTACGAGGCCAGTGTTCAAGTGTCTAAGACTTTCAACTTCCATATCTGCAAGAGCGGTATCAACTGTGAAGGCACATTTGAGAACTGTATCGACCTGCCAGAGGTGGTGGATCTGTTCATGTACAACCCGTTCACAATCACGCGCTCTATTGAGTGTGCCAACTTGGACGGTGGTGTGCCCGTCACGTACCTGGACGACTATGGTGCTCGTCAATGCTTTTGCAACTGTCCTGCTGGACACGTGCTCGAAGAGGACGACTACGGGGGTCTATCGTGCAAACAAACTGACGAAGACGTTTGCCCCTGTGCTTGGGCTCAAGTAAACGGGTTCAAGTACGAGGTGGATATCAACAAGGCCACTTGTTCAATCAAAGACTTAGCCTCCGCCTCCGTACTATCTGTGCCATTCCCGTCCGACGGCTACGTCGCAGACAAGCGTGATACACTGAAAGAAGGGTACCAGAACCCTCGGATTACGGTGACGGTAGACCGGCAGCAACTGGCTGAGTACAAGGGATCCGATATTCAAAGTGTTGTCGGCGCCGATGCGTCGTTGCCACTAACGTTTGAGGAGGTTGTGGGGCTGTCTTCAACGGCCTCAGATCTTAAACCCCTTGTGGCTCCTACGTACGGCACAAACACATACACAACGGAACACCCGTGGAAGGAGTACCAGGTGAACCGAGTTGCCCACATTGACGACTTGGAGTTGACATCCTACGGTAAATACAAGCTTGAAATGAGCGCCTACGACTACTTTTCCAGTGCCACTTGCGAGGGATGCCTGGTCATCGTGGATAAATACCGTCCGAAGGCGACAACGGTCTGTCCGTCTAGCTTCTGTGACGACGTCGCTGACCCCGTTCATTGCACGGAATCTGCTGAGCTCACGACCAATAATTTGGAGAAGGCTAGCGGCCTAGTTAACCAATATTTCGACTTCGCTAAGAAGGTCGAGAACGATGCGTGCAGTGTGGATAACCGGTGCGACTCGGAGTCGTTCAGTCGCCGTGATTTCTTTGAGACGGACTACACGGATCATGACTGTAGCCAAGCTCACCAATGCTTCGACAAGGATAAAGTAGTGGAGGACCTTATCACTTCCGACAAAGCCAAGACGAACCCTCTTGCAAGAGATGACAATGGCTGTGACAACACAGCTGTACCAGTACCAGTCGGACAGTGTACTAGGTGCTGCAAGATGCACACTGCACTAAAGGAGTGGTGGACAGACTACCGTTGCGGGTCCGACTACGACGCTCGCTACTGCGAGGGAGACAGTGACCAGACCTGTGATTTCAAGCAGTGTCTCGTGATGAATGGTGATACGTTGGCGACGGCGACCGCTTCGATCACGGAGGACGCCAAGAAAGAATCGGAGTCTGTGCTGGCTGACGTGGAAGATGAAGCTTATCAAACAGTGACTCAAATCCATCGCTCACTGGATTGCACGTCGTTCGGTGGTACGGACGGAGAATGCGAGCTCAGAACTAAATTGTCCGATCTGATCGACACCACGGAATCTCTCAATTTTGGCTCGTACGGAAGTCGAGAAGCCACTGACTACGTGTTCTGGCGCTACAAGCTCGTGTCGGAGGACGAATCCTGGCAACTGTGGAAGACTTCCAAGCACGTCGATGACTACGGAGGTGTAACTTACGACAACGATGGTCTGGTGACGTTCTCGAACCCAGAGACAAAGATCACAATCGAAGCCTGGACGCAATGTGGTCTGGTCCGTCGCTTCTTCTTCTACGTCCACCTACACGTCAACAGCCCCGTGAGTGTGTGTGAGAAATTCAACGACATGTGGTACCAGACATCCGTGTCGAGACTACCGATCGGCGTGGGCATGTGTGCATATCCAGGTAGCGACTTTGCCGAGCTGACGTTCGACTTCCACCCGAACGCAGGTCTGCAGTACTCTCGCGAGGAGTTGAGGATGAAGGTGTCGAAGGTTGAGTGCACGGGTGCTCTCGAAGGCCGCAAGCCGATAACAATCTTAAGTGTAGCAGAAGATTCCCCTGAAATTGTGACCCGATTCGCTGTCGAGATGCTGAACAAGGCCACAACCGAAGCCGCCACAGATTTCCACGTGGAGTGTGCATTCACGTACACGAAACGCAGCGGAGCGAGAGCCACGGAGACGTGCAAACGTGATTTCTCGATATCAGACTGTAAGGGTCCCGCGTTTGACAAGCCTGACAGTGAGTGTGAGTACGAGGCATGTGCTGGTCAAGCTGAAGTCGGTCTGTATGAGGCGTGCGGTGGCACCGTTGTGAGGGCCGATGAAACCTGTACGATTGTCGAGACAGACGAGAAACCTTGCTGCCAGGGCTGCGAGAACACGGAAGTCACGTGTGTAGCTCTACTGGATCTGCCGAATAGCAATGCTGACATCATGCGATGTGAACCGAGCTCCGGTGGGGCTTACTCGAGCTACAGCAGCTATGCAGCTGTGCTGCTAACGGAGACTGCGCATGGCCATCCTGCTGCCATGACGCTGCTGGGTGCGACCACGTTGATTGCTGTGGTGGCGCTGGTTGTTGTTCGTCGTCGGGCGACTGCTTCGCACTCGGCTCAGATGGCTGACGACGCCTATTATCCGTTGCTTCACTAAGCTCGCGAGTCTGAAGAGCAGTCCTTTCAGCGCTTGTCCTAGGGTCGTAACATGATGCATTCTTGATGACTACGATAAAGAAAAGTGTTTTTTTAGTTAAAGATTACAATTATTAAAGAAGACGGTAGTAGTCGCCTTGCTCGATATCAGCAACACGATGCTTGAGGTTGATAGCCACCACAGCTATGAGTGTGATGGTCGCCCCTAGAAGCAATAAGCTGGTCAGACTCATGGAATTCGGCTCTGAACCGTTTGTCGTGGCCGCTTCGAGTTTCAATAGCGGGTTTGGCTGAGGTTCACATCGCTTAATGTCTGTCGTACTGACACTCGTGCAAACCAGCGGTTTGTTACACTTGTTACAGCAGGTCGGCGCTATCGGCGTCTTCAGAAACGTATTCGTCGCTGACGATGTAACAATTGCCCCACCACAAGCCTCATATATCCCCGGTGCTGAGTCAGCCGCGCATCTGACGGAACACAGATCCTCCTTCTTCTCACACTTCAATTCGGGCTTTTCACAGTCGGTTATGGTGAATGTGTGTCGGCAATCGATCGCGTTGACATCCGTGGAGGTTTGTACCCGTGTGCTGGTCTGACTTATACGTGTGAACTTGCAGCGAGCAACTCCGGTTGTTTTCTGCGCAGTAGTCGGGTTATTCACCAGTTCAACACCGTAATATTTGCTAATGCGAGTGGAGATTTGGTCGTCTACCAGCGTGACAATTTGTGTGTCCTTCGCACCCGCCTCCTTCACCATAATATCACATTTGACTGCGACCGTGCTGCCCACTTGCCCTAAGACGTCCGCAGCTGCCATGTCAAATTTCAGGATAGCGAAATCGCTTCCTCCATACGCACAAGACGCGCCCTCGCTACCTTGAATCCCATATTTTTCGACAACATTCCACATTGAGGCGAACTTAGAGCACGTTAACGCGCTCTGCACGAAAAGGTTGACAGTAAGAGCAAACTGGTTCACCCTACCACACGCTGTCCACGCCTCCAGCACGAGCGTCGTGCTTGCATCCACGAACGAAATTGCACTGTCACTGAGCGGATCCCACTTGACGAACGTCGAGCCATCAGTGTTGTACCGCCAGAACACGTACTCTTTGCTGTTTGCGGCCTCGGACGGCGGAGTTGGAAACGGTGCAGCAAACCCCGTTGTGACGTCAAGAAGATCCGACAACTTGACAGAGTAGCGACATTTGGCGTTAGTTTTGTCGAAGCTGGTGCACGGAATAGTGTAGTAAATGTTTTTTGTAACATCGACTGCTGCCGGCTTGGTTGTCAGCGAGTTGAGCGCTGCGGTTGAAGCTGTCTGGATGGAATTCTTGATAGCGACCGTCGCTGTTGCCACGTCAGAGCCTTTGGCTTGGAGACACACGTCGATGGAACACACACTGGGGACCGCGGTGTCGCCAACACAGCTTGGAGACTGGCTGCTGTAGGCGTAGCAATCGTAGGGCGTAAATTGTTCCTTCAGTTTCCTGGTCTTACGGCAGCACCAAGTGCACTGAGTGTTAAGTGCGACCTCCAAGACAGCAAGCGGGGTCTGCAGAGCGTTAGAAAACGGAGTTGATTTGAGCTTTGCCATGTTTGTCGCCAAGGCGGCATCGTCAAAGCAAGCCCCCGTGCAATCTTTCTCGCTCTCGTAGAAAAGTTTGAATTTGGCCAACTTGTCGACACCGGGGACGCCACACAGCACATCACTGTTGGCGTTATTCACTACGTTGCTGTCGGCTGTGTAGGTCCTGTACGAAGCATCGTAGCTTTGAAATGTAGCCAATGTCGTCTTCGTTAGTCGCTGGGGACTTGTGATACCGGCCGTCAGTGGGCAACTGCCACTGGACCCGAATCGTGGACGAAACTTGTCAAGAATTGCAACACAGCCCGTGCAAATAGCTTTACGGCTGTACCCAGTGCCGATAGTTTCCAGATCGTACAGCCCCGGCGCCTCAAACTTAATTTCGTTCTGTACCAACGTTGGATTTGCCAGATATTGACTCCACAAGGTTTGCCTGGTGGTCAGCGTCGTTGAAGACCCTCGTTTGGTGGACGTGAGCTGGATGTACTGTGGCTTTAGGTTTTTCAATAGAAATACGCGTGCGAAACGCTGAAAGTCGTTCTCGAAGATCTTTAAGGGATCTGGCACGGGTAGATCGCACTTGTAAGGCTCTCCAAGTTTCAAAGTGCTCGTAACAGTGTCCAAGATGCACGATAACCCGTTCTGCCACGAGCAAAAGAGATCCGGATCGTCCTCCGCCATGAGGAGGAGTTCGGTATTCTGTTCCGTGTCCAACGTGACATTTTCAGACCCATTTAGACTCAACGCACTGACGAATACAGCCCAGAAGGTTAAAGCCACAAGGAGACCAGTAAGAGCTGACATGCTCCACGAGACTTGAAGAAAGATCCAATTGTGGCCGAATGATGCGAATACTGAAATGATCAACACCCATGATGTGTTTCAATGGTTACGAGACGCTGGTAAGGGTCGCGACCTTACCTAAAGTGAACTGACGCAACTAATCGATCTTTGCGGATACCTTTTATTTCGACATTTATTTAAAGTCATTGTGCGACCCAATTTGATTTACATTTTTGTCAGTTTGCTTAGCTACTGTAGCAGAGCACGATAACTTTGCGTACTATGACCGTTTCTCACAAAAAAAATACTTTAAAAAAGCTTTTCTTAAAAGAAACAATCATTGCATGACAGAAAATAGTACTTCGAAGTAATATTAACCAAGTAACCAGTTATACCGAATAATAACCCCCTTGTTGTGTCCTCGTTAATCATCAAGACAAGAGGTCCATTTTGATGAATCCAACATCTCGAGACAGTATTTTATCTTGCGCGGTTGCTGGTACGACATATAAGGATCCACGCTAGTTCGACTTGGCAGGGCAACCTCTGCGGATACAGACTGCACCGAATCGCATAAACCCACACGTGAGATCACCGTACGAATGCGTAGCCACTCAATAATAACCAACCTCTTTCGCCTTGACGCGGTATCTCGCAAACTGACGGAAGCGCTCTTCCGTTGGACAATCGTTGTCACTTGGACACTCGAGCTGATCACTGCGAGGTTTGGAAGCACAGGTTTCCATCTCTTGAAAATACAAACTTCCTTCGATTTTTAGCGTGGTGTGGACGTTCTTTCCGACGCGAAATATTTCCTCCTCATTTGCCGCGCATGGAAGAATCAAACAGCACTTAAGCTCTGACAAGGGGGAGAAACCGAGTGTTGCAGCGCGAGATGCCAGTGCAGAGCTGTGGACGTGCATCAGCTCGTCAAACTCCCGCTTGCTGAACCTTACCAGATGCAGACAGAAATTAGTACAGTAAACTTCCTTCAACGACGTTTTAGCTGCACTGACGAGCCACTTGCTGCTGTGTGGAACTCGATCTTCTCTCCAAATCGTCCCTTAAATAAGTGTGCGTGCATTACAGTGCGCCACACCATGTCCAGCTCCTTAACTGGGAAGAAGTAAGCCTGCAATTTACAGCAAAGAATGTCATACAAAGATACGAATTTCACTTGTACGAAATCACGAACAAAGTAACCAAGACGAGAAGACTCTTCAGGCGCAATGTCTCTCTTCCGCTTTTGACCGGCAGACTCCATAGGCACCGTGATTGTCGCTGTAGAACTCGATAATTTCCCAGACTCTCCCCCGTTGAGCAGAATCGCAAGCGCAATTCGATCGCTAGTTTCCCGACGAGATTGCAGCTGCTCTACAGACACGGCTGCGTCATCCACTTTGCACTCTTTTGTAGTCAGTATCGACTCGAGCCTCGCTCTTGCTGCTGCCTTTACAATCACCGTGGTAATCAGTCAGAACATACCACCAATTTTGCACTCTATCCAACAACACAGTGTACCTCGTCCAGCTCCCTCGCCGGTATATTCAGCAATACCACGTTTCTATGAGCCAGCTTGCTCAACGTCGTATTAAGCAGCTCTGGTTTTCACCACAAATAAACAATTTTCAGCAGGTATTTTCTTCAAATCAGCCCGATATTGCCACGAAAAAACACACCGATCATGCTCTTGATCACCACTTGGCCATCAAAGGCGACCCAGAAGTCATCAGCTTTGATTACCTCCCCCTTCTCTCTTAAGGTGGCAGTGATCGTGATCCTCTTATCCAGAGGTGGTATTCTCTCCAGCGCAAACTCCCCTTCGTCGCCCGAGTCATCGTACATTTCATCTTCATCCTCTTCTTCGTCCTCTTCACTCTCTAAATCTTCTTGGTATTGGTAGCCATCGGTTGGGCGACGAGCCAAGATCGGACCCAGTGTTTGTTGTTCCTGTCTGGCTCCATCTGCAGCCTGCGCTTCCGTGGAAACCACCAGAATTCTGCCTTGTTGAGCATTTGGTGCAACATTATTGAGAGTCCCATCTTCCTCCTCTTCTCCCTCGTCCTCCGCGGCATCAAGGAGATCTTGCCACTCATTCTCCAGGAGCCAGGTGGACGCCACTGTCACACTTTGGTCGCAGATCTCCAGCTGCTCAATGACACATTTTACGTCACGACGAATGTTACAAATTCACCCAGACACATTTATGCCATACGCACCACGCGCAAAAGCGCCTCCGTCGGCACCACAGGGAAGACTCCACGTAGGGTCTCCATCGAATGAACTGTTATTTTCTTATCCTGGAACTTGAAGCAAAGCTACACTTTGTACTATCAGATTGCGCAGGTAACTCAGACCTCATCAGCTCCTTTCAGTACCGGTATTAGTATCGCAGCGACGGTCGGTACTGCATCAGATTTCACAAATGAGCGAGGCTTAGATGGCATGCAAGAAGTAAATGTATTTGTCATTATGCTTTGATCACTCCTATCCAATAACTAAAAACCAAACTGACAAAGTTTCAAGCATTTGAAGAACCACGTCATAATGACCCAAAGTAAAACAGCTGAAGCAGCGCTCTTCAAAGTAGCAACTGCCTAACTAAACTCCAGCTTACTCGAGTAGTGGGTAGTAAGCATCGTCGACCTCTTGAGGACGAGAAGTACGACGCTTCACGACGACAAGTGCCACAACAGCAACCATAGCACTTGCTCCGAGCAGCGCCATCATCGTTGTCGTCTTCCCACTGGCAAATACTGCTTGCTCAGCTGCCTCCAGCCTCGAGTAATACGGATACGCGGATGGAACTTCACAGCGCTTGACATCCGTTGATCCAAAGGCAACACAGTTGAGATCAGGATCACAGTCGGCGCAACAAGATTCGTCAGCGGAAGTCTTGACGAAAGTCTGAGTCCCCTTCGAGGAAACGACAGTTCCACCGCAGGCCTCATAGGCACCGGGCTGTGCCTTGTCTGCACAGTCGTAGGCGCACACGTCCTCCTCTTCAACACCAGGCTCGATACGTGGCTTGTCACAGTCGGTAATGGTGAAGCTGTGAAAGCACGTGATGAAATTCTCAGGTGCAGTAACAGTAACGGAGCCTCCGTTGTTGCCATTGTTGCCATTGTTGCCGTTGTTGCCATTGTTGCCATTGTTGCCATTGTTGCCATTGTTGCCATTGTTGCCATTGTTGCCATTGTTGCCATTGTTGCCGTTGTTGCCGTTGTTGCCATTGTTGCCATTGTTGCCGTTGTTTCCATTGTTTCCATTGTTGCCGTTGTTACCATTGTTGCCGTTGTTGCCGTAGGAATCGCGGGAAAACGTACACTCAACGCGGAAAACTGACTTCGGGGCAGTGTGGGGATCATGCACAAGCTCAACAGCAAAGTTCTTGTCGATTTTGTTCTGGCTCGTTTCGCTCACGAGTATAGCTGGATTCACCGAGTATTCTGCCGCGGTGCTTTCGCGGACTCGAATATCGCACTTGACGTGCTTGTACGTTCCCTTCAGCAAGTCTTGACCTGACACAGGTGGGATGATGACATCGTAGTCGTAGTTGAGATTGAAGAGACTGAAGTCACTGTCCGGGACGTTGCAGTACGTGTCCTCGCCGTAGACTTTCGTAACCAGAGGGGTCCACATTTCCACAAACTTATCGCAAGTCAGCGAACGGTGGAGATAGAGCTTGACGACGATCTCAATCGATGAAATCTGTCCACAGGCTGTCCACGCTTCAACATTGACAGTCGTACTGGATGCTTTGAACGAATACTCGGCGTCACTGTTCGGGTTCCAGGTGGCCCAATCTTTGCTCCCGACTTTGACTCGCCAGAACACGTAGTCGGACGGCTTCTCCGAGTTAAGCGTGAGATCCGTCACAAACTTGGGGCCGCCACCAGCTTTCGGTCCGACGTCGAGGACATCCGAGAGCTTGACGTTGTAATGACACTTGTCGTTGGTGCCAACTTCGTCGTATGACGTGCACGGGAGACTGTAGTGGATGGTGTTGGCGACGTCGGTGTTTGCGGGCTTCTCCAACTCCTTGATGATCTTCTTCGAGGCCTCCTGCACCGAATCTTTCAGCTTGATGGTCGCTTCCGCAATGTCGTGTCCCGTCGCCTTGATGCTCGCCTCGAAGCTGCAAGTGCTACTTGGGAGACCCTCACAAGTACTTGGGGGCTGGGAAGCATCTGGTGGGCAAGTATACGCAGTATACTTTTCCTTGAGCGCAATCGACTTGGAGCAGGTCCACACGCACTTGTCGTTCAGACTCTTCTCGAGCTCCAGATTCGGACGCTTGACGCTCTCGACGGTAGTGAACGGGTTATTCTTCAGCTTGTCCAGGTTGCACTTGACACCATCGGAGCTAAAGCACATGCCCGCGGAGGGAGCAGATGTCGTGTCGTAGAAAATCTGTTGCGTTTGCGACTCAACATTACAGGCTGCGTCACTTTCAGGGTTGTTCAGGTGGTTGCTGGGCGAAGTGAACATGGCATAGCGCGTCTCCAGTGTAGTGAGAACTCGAATCCCTTCCTGCTTCAGTGGAACCGAACTGGAAGCCGAGGAGGGACACGTCCCCTCCCTGAAACGAGGTCGATACGTGTCTCGAACGGCGACGCATCCATCGCAAGTAGCGAAGCGGTCGTAATCGTACGCGGAGATGGCCAAGTCGTACACACCAACTCCTGGAAACTTGATGTTGTTCTGCGATTTCGTCGGGTCTTTCATGTACCCAGCCCACGCGAGATGTCCTGTAGACGCCTCAGTCGAGCCGCCCAAGCCTGGGGTGGGGCCCGTCGACGTGATCTCGATGTATGGATAGTCGGTCGAGGCGAGACCAGAGTCAAACTTGTTGACTCGCTTGTCACCCACATAGTTATCCGACGGAACGGGGACATCAGCGGAGCACGTGGATCCGAGTTTCAGGTCGTTCTTCGCTGCGTTCAACTCGCACACCTCCGGGCCCCACGAGCACGTCGCGTACGGGTCCGGATTGTAGGCGTACGCGGAGAGGAAGGATAGGGGCGTGACCTGGGACAGATTTTCATTACCCGTCGTAGCGAGGTCGCGTAGCATCGCATGGTCGGCACCCTCTTGGTTCAGCGCGGCGACGACTGCGCCGTAGGCAGACACCACTGCAAGTACTGTGGCGATTCGCATGGTTGCAGAAAGGTGGCCGCGAGCTGATGGCCTTGCTTTGACGTCGAGGCGTTTGAGGCTTGCAAGGAGAATTGCAAAGTGGTTCCTGAATACTGGCACGTTTGTTGAGCAATTCACATGGCGACGGATCGAGAGAGGAATGTGCGGACGGGAGTTGATGGCGTCGCCTTGGGGCGGCTCTCTGTCCAAGATCGCGGTGCGAAGGTGACCATTTGCAGAGCTCAGTTGGGCCGTCGGTTTTAGATATTGCGTAAGATTTGGATCGACCTGTGTCTGCTCAAGGTGTCGGTTTGAAAAGTCGGGGGTTTCTTGAAATCTAAACTTTTTGCGATGTGTCTTCGCGAAAAAATGGCTGATCGGTAAGTGACACCCTTTTTTAATATTGTTGTTGTACTGTGAGTCAAATAATCCACCATAACCAACGGAAAAACGCTGGCTCCGAACTAATAGCTCAGCGATCTTTTCACGATAGTAACTTTGCTGCTGCAACGTGCTATGCCCAAACAGAAACATGGAGCCGTCCACAGACTTAGGGATTCCACGGAATCTGCGTCGACTTAGTAAAGCACAGTCTGGAATAATATCCTGGTTGCGCAACAAAAATGGGCTTACAACACATGATTGGGTTGCTACCTTTTCGCTGTAGCTGTTGTGATGGAGAAATACAAAAAGATACGCGAAATGAGAAGCTAATTATTCAAAAATGAGTTAGCTTAGTAACGCAATGAATTGCGGAACAGGTCCATAGCTAACTTCAATTGCTGAACTCATCGTGATCAATGGATTTGCGTGCTAACATGGAGTTCTATCAATGAGATTTCCGACCTCTGTACATCTTGACTGCAGATAAGTAGGCTCCAATCGAAAAACATTAACAAAAATCAAATTGAAGGTTATAGTTTTTATCACAACCGCATCATGGCGTCGCAATAGCGCATGAGAGGTTGCTAACGTAAGAGGTGGCCTACAGTAGTTACCTAAGCATTTCTTCGTTATCAGCATGAAGACTTTGCAAATTTGCTACAGCAACTTCATGCAGTAGTAGAGTCTTAAGCGGAAGCTGTGGCAAATGCTGTGGCAGCCTTAGCGAAATCGGACAAGAGAGGCTTCTTCTTCGTGTACGCGGCGCACGGCACAAAGCGGCTCGTGATGTCTTTCCACTTGGGGATACCAATTACTAAATCTCCCGTCTTTAAACCCGCCACGATGTTGTAACATCGCGTATGCCCATCGACATGAAAGTTGGCTCGAAAGATGTCCGAGTAGTCTTCAACGCCGCCCAGACAGTCGGCTTGGTATTGACACAGCACCATTTCCATCTGCTCTCTGGCCGCCATCTCTTCATATCCAACAATGCGAGCAGATTCGTACAGCGCAACATTCCAACGCTTCACTTTCTCGTCGTAACTCGTTCCCGGCTCGATTATTGGAGAAGGACGGTCGCGTGTTTTGCTCCGACTCGCTAGTAGAGTCGTGATAGTACCGTTAACCGCAGCCATATTGGTAGCATTTTTGCAGTTTTGATACATGTTGGCCAGTCCTCCACTGATCGCGTAGCTGTAGCTGTAGTTCCCCAGGTCTTTAGCATCGACATAATCCGCATACTTGCTGGGTAAATCCTTGAAAAATGGGTAAAGGATGTTGTTGGGGTCCTCCCACACATTGACAAGGGTTTTCCCATCCGTTGCATTGGCGCGCATCGTGATGGTGTCATCGCTCGTATAGTTGCCAGTAGTTCTTTTTGCACATGTGCTAAACCACCGAGGGTCGCTACCTTTGTCTGCTGCTGAGAGCACCACGTTTGTACCGCCCACTTGGCACTTGAGATAAATTACTTGCAGCAAGTCGATCAACGAGTGGTGGAGGTAGAAAACCGGATCTGCCGGAGACTGAAACCACGCCATAACGCCGTTAAGAACGCTGTGGATGGTGTCTAATCACATTACGAGAACAGCCACACTGGTAAGGCATTGAATACGCTACAGAATTTGCACCAAAACTTACTGTGAACGCCCCCTTCGACTGCCTGCGTGAACCTGGCTGAATCGCTGTAAGTGAAGACCTGCTGAGCCATCGAACCTAGTGAAGCCTCTCCAGGGTAACGAGTACTTGCCAGATAGTTCTTAGATCCGCGAGTGACACACTGAGCGCAGACCGAGTTGTTGCCGCAGAAGTGAGACAGGATGCCTTGATTGACGCATGTAGAGTACGAAGCCGCAATGGACACGTTGTATATGATCAACCGCGCGCTGACGCCCGTCATGGCACCACCAGAGTCCGTGAGAAAAGGTGTACAGCCCAGTAGATAGTTGCATTGGCCAGCAGCTTGTCGAGCGTACGCCGAGAGATGGTCCCAGTACGGGAGTGTCAAGCAACGGTACTTGGCATCCAAGCTTCGCAGCATATTCTCGTAGCCCAATAGCAGCATGCGGTGCCAGTAGATGAACATGCAGTTTTGATGCGCCTGTTTCTCCGACATGAACTCGACGTGCACTTGGACGAATTTTTGGTGGAATCCCAAGTCCATGGCAACGCCTACCGCTTCCAGATACAGAGCCTTCTCCGTCGTACTGTACGTATCCCAGGATCGACGAATACGAGCATCCGAACAGTTGGTGCCCACTTGTTGCCCACTGGCAGTGGAAATCGCAAAAGCAATCACCAACCATGACGTAAATGAAGACTTGAAGTTGAAACGTCCCATCTCTTGACTACGTTTCCACCGACTTGACTGCAAACGAAAAGATCCTGAAATGACGCGAGTCTATGCTGGGCACACATACTAGTCTAGTAGTTTTCCTGTGGAGGAGAGTTGTTGCTGACAACAAGATCTTGGATCCTATCGTGAAGAGTCGCATGGTTGATAAGCATGAGTTCATGGCGATACAATTGGTCAAAAATCAGCTCAGCTAATAAATGACCGCCGCCGAGGTATTAATTCAATCTATCGGAAAATGGAGAACGGGCAGGGGCCTGTTTTAAGTTTGCTTCACGCCGAACTGCCTGAGTGCTCAAGAATGTGGTGCTATGTCACATCAAAATCTTTCTTGTAAGAAAGAAGGGCTGGGCTAGAAATCTTTATTTACTTTACCGTAAATCATCTCGTAAATTCACCCCTGCATACATGTAATGTAGATTTTCTTAGACGTATTTGCTTTATATCTTCGATTTTTAATAAATAATGTCGTTTTATATATCGAGGTCCATAAAAAACGGCAAATCGGAAGACCAATAAATCGAGCTAAATCGAGCGCCCAAGTTGGATTCCAGGCAAATCACACCATGTAAATCTACCATTTTTGCGCGCTTGAAAACGCAATTCGAGCGCATAGAAATACCTGTTCCTATCTCGTTTTAATGCATTATTTATATGCCGATCTAAGTCATAAAACGGAAGCCCAATAATACTTCTACTTTACATTTCCGTATACACAAGACACGTATTAGTGTTTCTATTGATCTAGCAAGAATTATAACAGTGTTGATCTAGATTTAAACTTCAAGTGAAGACAATGTGTGCACGGAATCGGCTAATTAGTATTGTGCGAAATTTGTCAAACGCGCACCCACTCACGTAAAACTGTCTTACAGAATGCACCTCTGGTTTCATTGGCCTGGCACTTTGACATGCATATCTTTTGGGGTTATTGTAGCTAATAGGATGACCTAAGATTGCAGTTTGAGCCATTCATAGCGTCGTGTCGATGAGTTGTGGATTGCTGCCGCATCGGCAATTTTGGACGGAGCTGACAATAGTGCACGAGGTGTGTAAACACCCAATTATTAAGCATCATCCACATACCTTTGATTGGATTTACAAAACTACTTTAGTGCACAGGAACTTGATAATGGATATTGCACTCAATCCGAGGCAGAAGAAAAAGTAAAAGTAAATAAGTTAGCTGCCTTAGCACTCTCTCTCTCCGGTTCTCACAACCAGTGAAGGATCTAAGTCCTTCTCCCGTACTGGGACCCTTGTCTCTCAGCATCTTCGACAGCTTGGTCGGACTCCTTGGCTAAGTCTCACGTTTTTTTTAATTTAGCTCCGACATTGACGCTTCCATACGCAATCCAAAACTTGAATGTGATTTCAATGTGAGTCTTGCAATAGCGGATAATGCCAATGATAGTGGGAGCTCCGCTAAAAAATACTTCTCCTAATTGTCA